ATACGAGTGTATATGCGCAAGCGTTTTTAATTTGATTTTGCAGACGTGTGCATGCATTATGAAGTCGATTTTGTTTATGCATATTTTTTTTTTGTTGGAGGTGTAGGTAGTATCTGCCAAATTAAATATTTCTTCGAGAAAAATTCAGGCAGCATGCATTTCAAGCATTTCAATCAAGTTTGTTATCGAAATTGCTATACGTACGGTTCGAGGGCTTACATATATTCAATATGATATATCTGCAGTTTATACAAAAACTACTTTGTGACTTTGAACCCATCTGGGACTTAATTTCCATCACTGGTTGCAATCTCTAACTTTGAAATTCAATAGTTAACTCTACAAGTTAACTTATACAAGGTCAGCATTAGCATCATCGATGGCAGTTAAGTCTAAGGTGGATCTTAATATAGGAATCTTATTTTTGCAAATACTGCAGAGAGGTAATATTGAATATATGCCCTCGATGTCCATCTCTTAAAAACTTAATATTAAAATCAAAAGTGGCTGTTTCTTTTAAGTATTAAATAACTAAAAGCGTTCTTGAATTAGCGAACTACCTAAAGAGTAACAGCATAAAAGTTTCCAAAACAAAAATTTTGGGTAATGTTGACAGTTATTGACCAGATACAGATCTGGGTGGTTCGGTTGCGTATACAATTTTTAAACGCACATACGTATGCGTGTAAAAAAAACACGCCTATTATAGAGATATGTAATTGTAACAACTTTTGGACTTCAGATGTTATACATATGAACACGTTTAGATGAAGTTATTTCTGAAGGTTAAAACTCCCGGTACAATCAATGCCGTTTGCTAGAAAATGAAGATATTTAGATGTAGTAGTCCAACATGTGTTGCATTTTCAGCGAGATTTATGGAAGCAAATGTAAGGATTAAGTCCTTTTTCTACTACTAAAATTAGTATAATATATATGCATGCTGTTATATGCCAAGTAGATAATTTAAGCAGGTAAAAGGCCTTCCAAAAGGCCTTCTTAAAAGTAAAGAGGCTTTCCACTTTGGATTCCTTTCTCCTTTCTTTTTTTTCTATAGAGTGACACAAATTAAGGGGCTTCTGCTTCCGATACCCATAAAGGGCTTCCAGAAGGGCCTTTGTAGGACGTATTTTTTATAAGGCCTTTTGGAGGAGGCTTTGCCGGTTCTTTAATTCATAAAAGTCATTCTTCTTTAAGGTATTTAATTAATTTAATAATTAATTAATTAATATGTTAAATAATATACAAAAAAAAAAAACGGAAAAGCTGTCACAAAAAAAAATTATTAAAAATCAACGCATTTTTTGTTAACCGCACTTCATTAGACTAAAAATGTATGCGCTATAAAATAAAAAAGCTCGAAATTTTAACGGAAATTTGTTGAAATTTCTTAAACTTTGTATGAAGTTTGACCCCTTGATCTATTTGATTTTGGTTTAAGCTTGAACACGATTTTTTACAGAAAAACAACAAAAACGCTTATTTTTTATAAATTGCACTTGTATACAAAAAAACCGCAAAAGCTGTAAAAAAACTAAAAATCAACGCATTTTTTTACCCGAAAAGCATTGCGAATACATATAAAAAAAAAATGAACACGTGAATACTTGTTTGAGTCACTGTATGTATGCGCATAAGTACATCACTATCATACATACATATCTATATATTTTTTTTTGTTCAGCTTTTTTGATGCTATTTAGTTTTAACAGGTTAAATAGTACTAATATGCACTCTAATCACAATACAAATATCAGTTTTGAAACCCCCCAATTGGAAAATAGGCAAGCACCTTACGATGTAGTCCATGTTTTCTTTCAGCTTTTAGTACCGAAATTTTTACGTTATCTATTAGTAAAGCAAAAAGGAAGAAGTAAAGCGCAAGGAAGATACTACCACACACCGAACACCGTACGTACCTTATTTGGTATAGAAGATTAGAAGTATATCTGATACCAAATGTCCATCCTAAATTCCTGTTTCCATAAGGCGTTCAAGCCTTTGTTAAGAGATCATTAAAACTAAACATTGAAACATAAAAACTATTAAAAAGCGTCGGCCTTAATATTGTTACTTAATGCCTTTAATTATTGGACGTATTACCGATTAAGTGAACTGCTAGTAAATAGACAAAAGCGGCAAAAGAAACCGGAAGAAATAATCAAATTTTTACATCCAGTCTGTACAACTAAATATTCATATGTTCATACCCTTATAGAGTAAAGGCACACATATATAATTTTCTATATGCACGTGCATGAGAAACATCGGAGTTCCTTGAATTTTATTTTTTAACATAATATAAAGTATTAAATGGACGGTCAATCAGCTGCTGCTATACATTCCCCTTAGTCAGCAAGTAAGCTGGGTTAATCACTTAGTTACTGAGAATAACAGCTAATGTTTTCATTAGCTTAATATGTACTCATATCTGCCTATGGATCCATACAGCCCATATACCTTTGCATGACTATGTATGTGCATCCATACATACAGATGTATGTATGTACATATTTTTGGATGCTAATTTGTTCACGCTAACGTATGTAGACGGAGCTGCGCGCGTTTAGCTCTTTCAGTGAGTGGGGCCACGTTGGGCTGTTTGGCGTCNATGTATGTATGTACATATTTTTGGATGCTAATTTGTTCACGCTAACGTATATATACGGAGCTGCGCGCGTTTAGCTCTTTCAGTGAGTGGGGCCACGTTGGGCTGTTTGGCGTTCAGTGAGAAAGGCAATATTCTCAGTCTGTAGTGGAACGTCGTCCGCGTCACTGATATATGTACGATTCCGGATTATTTGTCTAGTTAGGTGCGGGTGCCATGCGGTTGTAGGCCTGTTCCTCTTTCTTTCGGTATGGCTAAGGAATTAACATACATATCAACTCAAAATANTCGTCCGCGTCACTGATATATGTACGATTCCGGATTATTTGTCTAGTTAGTTGCGGGTGCCATGCGGTTGTAGGCCTGTTCCTCTTTCTTTCGGTATGGCTAAGGAATTAACATACATATGAACTCAAAGTGNTGTAGACGGAGCTGCGCGCGTTTAGCTCTTTCAGTGAGTGGGGCCACGTTGGGCTGTTTGGCGTCCAGTGAGAAAGGCAATATTCTCAGTCTGTAGTGGAACGTCGTCCGCGTCACTGATATATGTACGATTCCGGATTATTTGTCTAGTTAGGTGCGGGTGCCATGCGGTTGTAGGCCTGTTCCTCTTTCTTTCGGTATGGCTAAGGAATTAACATACATATCAACTCAAAATAGTACGATTAGGAAAGGTGAAGATAAAATAGATAAAAATACAAGACAAGCAGCTCAAACAGATGCAGACATTCATAATAACACAGCTAATACACATTTGCTTAAAAGTGCTGTGAATGCTTCTACTAAAAAGCAAACAGTGGCAGAAAGAGTAAATAAATATTTAAAATAAGTAATTTATGAAAATCCCCCTCAACGTTAATTTATTGAATTGCGGGTTACATAAATGTACTTATGTATGTATGGNATTTGCTTAAAAGTGCTGTGAATGCTTCTACTAAAAAGCAAACAGTGGCAAAAAGAGTAAATAAATATTTAAAATAAGTAATTATGAAAATCCCCCTCAACGTTAATTTATTGAATTGCGGGTTACATAAATGTACTTATGTATGTATGCCATTGGATTTATAAGGAATTCTCTATGCACGTTTATTGTGCTTATTAATCATCGAAAAATGTCCAACCTTCAGTGTAGCGTAAAAAAAATTATAACAAAATAAAAGTAATTGGCAAGACTCGAAGTTCATATCTTGCCAACAGTCGAGTCATACAATTTTTTTTTGCTTGCGCCTTCAGCACCTCAACACCTTCATATTTGTGTGCACGCTTTTCCTGGTACTTAATACTTGATCTTTCTACTGTATTGTGGTCTGTTGTCTTTTTTATATTTTTATCATTTCTGTTATTTTTTGTGGCTGTGCCGTCTGGCTTACTTAATACCGACCGCATTTGTTGTTTGTTTGTGATAGCGCCTCCGCTTTTCTTGATTTGTCATTCTCTTCTGTTTATTTTATTTTGCCAACTTTTACGTGTATTAAAAAAAACACTTGCATTTTTATTTGCCTCTCGCTGATTTGCACATTATTTTTCAGAGTTTTATATTTATCAGTAAGTTATTAATATACATATATTAGTGCGAATGTGAATGTTTAATACAATTCAACACAATTTTATAAAAAAAAAAAATATTTTTTTTTGCGGGTTTACACATATCGAGCTCTAACCGCCAAAATAACGTAAGCGAAATTTTTTTTAAAAATTTTCTTTTTGATGCAGAAACATTCCTAGAGCATCTAGATACATTTCTGCATCAAAAAGAAAATTTTGAAAAAAATGTCGCTTACGTTATTTTGGCGGTTAGGGCTCGATATGTATGTACTTATGTATGTACATAATATCGCACACCTAGATCTAAAGTGAGCTAACTCCAAATTCTGAGTGGGAAATTTAACTGCTTGTGGATTGTGCAGATTTAACGTAATTAAATAACAAGTGTTAAACCATGAAGAAAAATATATTTACATTAATTGGATGTGAGTCCTATGAATTGATTTATGTAAAAAAATCGCCCAATTTTTTTTTTTTTGAGTTGATCGCACTTTAGATCAACGTGTGTGATATGTACATGCAAGGAAATTTCGAAAGATTTTCTTGTCTCATGGATACATTTTTTTTTTGTGTTCATTGTCCTCCTTTTCATGCATTGACCTCAATTACTCCGTTCTAGTACTTACAAGATCTCACTTCCCATCACCCTAACGTGCAACCCTAATGTCAGTAAATTAAATCTCACCAAAAATCATTAAACTCTAGCTAAGGAAGTATTTCGATTAATCCAGTAGAACTATTTAAAAACGTTTTTTATTGCCCTACTCCAGAGTTCGATCAAATATTTTTTTTCGAAATTGCATTGCAAAAATATATACATAGTACATACATTAGATTTGGGGTTTGCGGCGAACTTTTTTGTTTTTCTTTTAAGGTGATCCGGTCTAATGTAGTGCATACATCTACATATGTGTTACTAAATATTCGGGCGTTTAATAAGAAATTTTGGTAGAAAATTATGTTTTAGAAAAACTAAACAATTTATTTAAATATCGTTATTTTTTTGTATTAAAAAAGTAAACACATATACAACTTAAAAGTAGGCAGTAGAAAATATTAACGAGGAAGCAATTTTTTGCATATTTTCCCGAAACACGGAATATATTTTTTTAAGTGGTAAGTGCATTTTTGCGGCCGATAAGTATATCTCAATTATTAAATAAGATGCTTCATAAAATGAAATTCCTTTCCCGTTAATTTATAAGGTGGCAGATGAGTACATGTTTTTTTTTTAAATTAATTTAAAAGACTAATTAATTTTTTTTATGGTTAGTAAAATGGTTGGAGTTGGAGTGTGAATCGCCTAAATTTTTGATCGTAATAAGTCCGGTTTTACACGAACTAGGTTAGATCGGCGAACCTTTCTGATCGTTGCTCGTCGATGAAAGAATTTCCTGCAGTAGGGCTGCTTCACATGCTTTTGATTTGGGTTGGTATCGATTCCAACCCTGAACCAGAAACCTACACAAGGTAGACTTCCTCTTACCGCCGAAACACGACCAATAGCCCAACTGAACCACAACGCTCTCCAGAGTTGGATCGAGGAGATAATAATCTTTATTTGTCCGCATGGAATATTGATAGCTGCTATTTAAGATACCTGAAAAAGTTTTGGTCACCTTCAAGGTCCCTGTCTGACGAAGTTTTATGGTAGTGTCGACACTTCATTTGCTGATCGCGTCTCATCGTACCTGAAGCGATGTGCGGGTTACTTAAGCCGACAATTCACACTTCATCCTAAGGCAAATAACACCAAACGAGGAGTGAAAAAAGGCTGTACAAACTGCCAAAAACAAGGTGCCTCTTACTTTCACTAGCGGTGGGGTTGAGATGGCCATCGTGAAGACGAAAGCCTCCAAAGTCTCATCCTAGACTTTCTGAACTTTTCATTGCGCGGAGTTTTAACGTGGCTGGACCCAAACCCAGCGCACTCAAATTTTTACGCCTTCTCACTTTAGCTCGCTTCCAAACGGGTGTTTGGTTGCTACCCAGAGGATACGTGGATATAAATATTCGGACATTATGAGCTGCGATTTCAACCGTACGCACAATAATCACTTCTGGCCACTCCCAGGTGAATGACAGTCAAAAGTTTTCCACTTCTGCGCTCGAAACCATCCTCCGGGTTTTGATATTACATATTGTTAAAAATGTTATAAATACTGATCAATATCGATATGTTTATATGTATACAGTTATAGTTAAGTATTTATCGTTATCGACTATTTTTTTATTTTAATTTTTTTTAAACGTTATATTAAAAGTTAAGAAATACACCCACTACAACCAGCTATGTATGTATGTATGTACTCGTATAACTGTATTTGTGATCGTATTAGTAAGCAGGCGAATACGTTTTCTATGAACGCCTGTTGCATTCAATAAATTTCAATGCCATTCATTCGTTGTGAAGGCATTGAAAGTGCCTTAGGAGATGATTACATACATACATACATACGCTTTACTACCCTCGATTAATTATGTAGGTCAGGCAATCTAAGGGAAGAGAGTGTTAAGATAAATGGATAAAACCGTAGTTTCTAACCACGCTTTTGACGATACGGTATAACAACTTAAATCGATTCTAGACATTCTTCAGGAAATACATTTTTAATATACAGTTTTTGAATCAAGTGACAAGTTTGTGATTAAATTAACAATTCGGAGATACATGGGCGTAGCCAGGTAGGGGCAGGGGGGTGCTCGAGCCCTCCCCCCCCCTAACTTTCAAATTTTCCTTATATATATATAAAATAGTACCCTGAAATACCAGCTTAATAGGGTCGAAAAAAATAGGGTCGAAGAAAATAGCCTCTTTCAGTCATTAACTCGAAGAGAACGTTCAATTCCGAGACTTGGTACCATTTATAAAACTAAATGTTATACATTTTCTAAGATTTTTCCAAAATCACTCCGATGTAGTTTCACAGAAAAGTTGAATCAGTTGGATTGCATTCATTTCGAGGTTTCAATAATTCGTACAGAAAAATTTAAATTTGTCTCTTTAAAAAAATTTTATAATTTCATAATCTTTTTATTGATTTTAATGCCTAGTTTTACTCGGAGTTAAACATTCTTATAGAAGTAATGATTAAGAGAGACTATTTTTTTTTCAAATTTTGGCAAAAATGTAGAAATGGGAAAATAATAAAAGTTGGTGTGAATTTCAGATTTATTCCAAAACATTTTCAGATATTTACAATGCGCTTATAAACTCGTTATTTCTTCAAAAAGGACAAATATTGTTCCGTCTAAAGCCATATAAAAACTTAAAAATGGTTAAAAAGTAATCGTTGTTGCCGGAAGTCAGGCGAAAATGGTTTTTTAAGGTAAAATTAAAAAATTTGAGCGTATTACTTAAAAAGTTCGAGGATTTTTTTTATTTTGTAACACCGTGTAATCTTATTTTGAACTTAAATGTAGTCTGACATTTTTTTTCCGGTCAGAAGTTTTCAAGTCTTAACTCGACTTAAGCTGTTATTCCTAGCTCTTTTTTATAACCATATATGCATCTGAAATCCTGTTGAGAGCATTCCCATAAAGAGCCCCTTAGAAAGCTTTGAGCTATACATACAGTGACTCAAACAAGTGATCACGTTTTGATTTTTTTATAAATATATGTTTTTCGAGCGATTTTTTTAGCCGGTTTAAACTTGCTCTTCATTAGACTAAAATTGTATGGGCTATAAAGCTGCATATCCAAAAATGTTCTTAAAGCTCTGATTTAATAGTTGAAATTGTGATGAAAATTTGTTGAATTTTCTTAAATTTTTTATAAAGTTTGAAACTCTGATTTATACAGTTTTGGTTAAATAAAGCTTGGACAATATCTTTTATAGAAAAAAAAAATTAACTCGAAAAACATTATGAATATTAACAAAAATCAACACGTGGGCAGTTGTTTGAGTCACTGTATGTTTGTGCTATATATCTGCTATCCAAATAATATGCGTGCTGGACACGCTATATACGACTAGCATGTATTTGAAAACATTTTAATGAGTGCGTGTTAGACATTAGAGAGAAACTCAGCGGTTCCACTGAGAATATTAAAATTGGTAACAAAACGTTTGCTCTAGTGTCTGGCGTCGCACCCTGGATGTTATACTATTTAATGGGATAAAAGCATACAATTGTAGGCAAACACACATACAAACCAAGTGAAAATTCCTAAATAGGGAATAAACTTGGCTGTGAGGAGAAGGCGGTGAATAGTTAAAACAGCATGTGCGAAATATTTCATTTATATGTTAATGAAAATCGCAAGTTCTGTGGTTAAATGGAGAAAAATATAATTCAACAAAGCGATGTGCTTCACATATTAGTACTACACGCTCAGCACTCGCTAGCTAAACAGTGAAAGTCCATGTATTAAATAGAAAGAAATATTGCATATAACAACTTAGCGCAATTACTAACCAGATTCCACTCTTCTTTTAAAGAAAACTTCAACACACAACGAGTCTGACACTCGATGCAGAGGCATCGCGACATCAACGCAACAATTCAGCCAAAAATAGCTCAAAGTACTCAACACCCTTAGCGCCAATGACTGATAATAATATTTTAGAGTGTAATTTTGTAAATGAAGAAGACTGCTGCCCACCAATCAAATACAATGAAACACTTTTCTTTGCGGATGGTGTACGTTTGATTGATTTTGTGCTTGCCTACAAGGTGGATCCGGATGCTGCACAGGAGGCGCTTAACGCACATAAGCGTTTTAAATTTGAAGCCAATCTATTGGAGCATGGCCTGCAAATGGAGTTGGACTATAAGGAGCAGCAGCAGATACATTTTGTGAAGGTAAGCGAATGCAAATTTAATCTGGCTAGCATTGAGTTAAGTGTGCTTTATTTTTATTCATTTTGAAATTGTTTCTAGATACATGCACCATTGGATGTGTTGCGTTGCTATGCAGAAATTTTAAAGCTACGTATGCCTATGAAGGAGGTAATTATAGTATTTTTTTTACTTTGTTGTTCTTGTGTAGAAAATAGCAGTTACGGTAGCATCAT